CTCCGTTTCGGCGGCGTTCGGTCCCCGGCGCGGAAAGCGAGCCCGCGGCTTGGGGTAGAAAACAAACCCGTGAGGAATAACCTGCCCCATCGCTTTTAAGCAAAACCGTGCCCAAAAAAGAGTGCTCGGCGCCCACCGCTTTGCGTTCGTTTGGGCCTTTTTCGGTAAGCCGGACCGCAGTAAGAAATCACAGCAGTGCGCAGAGATTTTGATTATTATTTTTTGTTGTATTCGTCCGCTCTGCGCCGGGGTGGGAGACGACGGCCGATCGCCGCGTTTCGCTTCGGTTTCGCAGCCGCGCTCCTGTTCGGGTTTATTTAACCCCGTTTTTGCGGGCGCGGGGTTTGGAAACGAAAACCGCCGCTGCTGGACTTCAGGTGGGATTTTCGCACCGGTCAGCCGAGAAATGACTCTTCCTGGGAAAGCGCCGGTCCGGAGGAGAGGCAAAATCGTCGAGGCCAAGGATTACGCAGAATAGGGAATTACGCCCGCCGGGTTTGCGCTGTGTTGGCGCAGCCCCGGCACCTGCTTTCCCCTCCTTGGGAAATCCCGGGCGAAAGGAGAAATCCGCCTTTCCCTGAGCAAAAATCATCACTGGTGACTTCTTGGCGCATCCTGATGCTCCAGAGAGGGAGAAACCTTCACATTTTTTGGTTTTTTTCCTCCAACTCCTCTTCAGGCATTGAGGGTCGGGTTATCTTGCAATTTCCCTTTTTTTTAATGGAATTCCCGCATCCTGTGTTTGATTAAACCCAGGGACAGCAAAGCCCAGGTTTTGCCAAGCTGGATGGGGAAGATCCGCATCCGTTTCTCCCAGCACCCGATGGCTCCGCTGCGAATTGCCCCTCGAACCGCGGCGAGACGCTCTGCTGCCCCCAACTCCCCGGATGATGCCAAATCTCCCTCCAAGAGCCAGGAAACCTCAAAAATTCCCACTCTGTCCACTTTCTGCCACAGCTCCAACATCCTTTTCCTGTTGCAGCAGGCTAGGAATTGCCTCTCCTAACGTCGCAGGTTCAAAACCCGCCGAGGCCCGGCTGGAAACACCCTCGTTGGCCAGCCGGCGTGGAATATGGAGCTTATCCGGCACCCTGCAGCTCATTTCCGCATTGAAACCGTGGCTTTCTCGTCAGACTCCGGTGCTACCAAAAGGCTACGCGGGCCGTAGGAAAATTATACGCCAAAAAGGAGAAGATTAAAAAAAAAAAAAAAGCAAGGCTGCGCTTTAAGTGGATGAGGATGCAGCGAGTTTCTGCTTCCCGGAGCTTTTTCAAGGGGAAGAAAAAATAATCTCTTGCCTTGCTGATAAATGTCAGTGCTTTTAAATTAAAACCTTGGGGTTTTATCCCGGAGCAGGAGACTGGGGCCGTCGGGGTTGGCGTGCCCTGGGTCCTCATCAGTGCAACCCTCCAAAAACACCAGTCCTGCTCTCTCCTCCAGGGTTGAGCTTCCTTCTGAGAAGCGCTGGGTTATTCTTCTTCCCTTAAAAAACCATTATTCCTGCTTAACGAGCAATTCTGTGTAATTCCATTAACGATTTAACGCTGATTTTCCTCTTAGAGCTGGGCTCTTGAGAGTGAAGCATTCTGGTTAAATTTTGCTGGCTTTTGGGAAAACTATTAACCCGACAGCAGGATATTTGCCACCTCTGAGATAACTGTTACTGCTCCTCGTCGCCTTGCTTCCCGCCAGGCCGTTTCAGGATGGTTATTTGTTGGGAGCCCCTGTTTTTCCCTCAAGGAAGGGGTGAAACTCCCAGCAAAATGGGTTTTCCCGGGATGCTCTGCAGCGCCGGCGGCAAAACAGCTTATTAAAACCCCCAGACAAACTCACCAAAGGTCCCATTTTGCCGTAAATTCTCCCTGGCCGCGTCAGATTGCTTCCATCCTGAAACACAAGATTGCGTCGCCTTTAATTACAGCTGTTAGATTGGCTTAATTTAGCTAAATCAGGACAAACAAGAGGGCTACGCTTAGACTTGACCCATAAATTGGGCTGCTTGACCGGGCTCGGTTGCATTTTTTAGGGAATTAAGTTAATACCTACCTGCGGGCTGAAAACAGAGTGGCGTTCACACCTTATTTTCTGGCGGATAGCGAAAGTAAGGTTGGTTGGTTACTTGGTTTTTTAAACCAAGTAACGTTCAATTTTGGCTAGAAACGGGTCCCCAGGCTGGATCGCGGCCTGCCTGCTCGCGTCCCGACGGAAAGCGAGAAAACGGAAATCGCCTCGTTTCCGCTTCCCGAGTTAAAGCCGGGCCCTCCCGCCATGGCGAGCCCGGCCGCGAGCCCCGACTCTTCCTCCCACGAGGCCCTCTCCTCCGTCAACTCGGCGCCGGCGTGCTCGCCCACCTCCGACTCGGAGAACCTCAGCCCGGATGAGCTGGAGCTGCTGGCCAAGCTGGAGGAGCAGAACAGGTGAGCAAACGGGAAGCTCCCGCTGCGTTTTTCGGGGCAGCCGGGGTGAAATTCCCCGTTTCAGAGGCCGCGGTGTTGCCCGTCAGTGCTCAGCCTGCGCGGAAAGCTTCGGAGAGCCTCGGACAACCCGGCTTTCCAGGAGGAGGTGGATATTTGCAGGCTCTTTGGATTTTTATCCCTGCATTAGCCGCCCTTTGCTGGAAATCATTCTCTGAGCAGCTTTGGGGTAGGTTCGAAGTCTGAGAAAAGCGTGTCCGGGCGGCAAGACCTGTTTCAGTCCTCAGCGCTGGTTAAGTTCCGCTCTCGGTTCGCTGCCTCTCTCCCGAGCTGCCCCGGTTGCGTCCGAATGCTGGGAAGGAAATAAAAGCAGCAGCGAGCCCAAACAGGGCCAAGGATGGGGCAAAAAGGAATGAGTGAAAAACGATCTGGCACTTCGGAGAAAAGTTGGGCTCTGTCCCCGCTTCCCCTTGGGTCGAGGAAGATGCGATTGCATCTTCCTTCGCCTTTTCTCAGCATCGAGCGAGCCCCTCTCCCCAACTCCCGAACCGAGACACTGAGCAAAAAGCTCCAGCCCTGACATTAAACCCTTTTTGCGTACCAAAAATCAAACCCAGAATGAAAATTTCTGGGAAAACCGGATGGTGATAATTGCGTTGATCGCCGCTCCGCGACAGCGATAGCGGCCGAATGCTTTATTGGCTGCTTGGGCAATCCAGAGCGTTAAAACAACTCAGGGGAAAAAAGTATAAAAATCCCTCATTTCCACTTCTGGAATTAAAAACTGCCTCTTTCTGGGGTTATTTAAAGCACTCGAACTGGGAGGAGACCAAAGCTTCCCACGGAGCATGGTGGGTTTGCCCCAGCGCCGCTGCGCTCGCGCTGTGTTTTCTCTTGAAAATCTCCGTTGCAAACCTTAAAAAAGTCTGTAACGTTCTTCAAATTCTTGCACGTTTTCAAATAATGCTTTGAATTTGGAAAATACGAATTCTTTAAAAGAAAAAATGGGGAAAAAATAAGCGGTTGGTGCCCTCCAGGTGATGGTGCCCATGGGGAGCCCTCTGCTCCGCAGAGCGGCCTGGAGGGCGGCAGGGGAATTCGGCCTGGCGGCGTTTCCGCGGGTGGTTCACGATCTCTGGGCTCTCCGGC